TAGCCAAAGGTGTGGTTTTGGTGGTCAGAGGGGTGTTTTTGGTGGTCAAAGTTGTGGTTTGAGTAGCCAGAGACATGTTTTTGGTACCCAAAGGTGTGGTTTTGGTGGTCAAAGGTGTGGTTTTGGTGGTCAGAGGGGTGTTTTTGGTGGTCAAAGTTGTGGTTTGAGTAGCCAGAGACATGTTTTTGGCAGCCAAAGGTGTGGTTTTGGTGGTCAAAGGTGTGGTTTTGGTAGCCAAAGTTGTGGTTTTGGTACCCAGAGGGGTGTTTTTGGTAGCCAAAGGTGTGGTTTTGGCAGCCAAAGATGCGGTTTTGGTGGCCAAAGGCGTGGTTTTCGTGTCCAGAGGCATGTTTTGGTATCCAGAGGGGTGTTTTTGGCAGCCAAAGCTGTGGTTTTAATAGCCAAAGTTGTGTTTCTGGTAGTCAGAAGTGTGGTTTTGGTGGCCGGAGGTGTGGTTTTAGTAGCCAAAGGTGTGGTTTTGGTAGCCAGAGGTGTGTTTTCGGTGGCCAGAGGTGTGGATTTGGCAGCCAGAGGGGTGTTTTGGGTAGCAAGAGGTGTGGTTTTAGTAGCTAAAGTTATGGTTTTGGTAGCCAGAGTTGTGGTTTCAGTAGCCAGAAGTGTGGTTTTGGTAGCCACGGGCATGTTTTTGGCAGCCAAAGGTGTGGTTTTAGCAGCCAGAGGCATGGTTTTGGTAGCCACTGGCATATTTTTAGTAGCCAGAGGCACATTTCAGTAGCCAGAGGAGTGTTTTGGTAGCCAAAGGTGTGGTTTTAGCAGCCAGAGATGTGTTTTTGGTGGCCAGAGGGGTGGGTTTAGTAGCCAAAACCGTGGGGCCAAAGTTGTGGTTTGAGTAGCAAGAGAGAGTGTTTTGGCAGCCAAAGGTGTGGTTTTGGTAGCCACCATCATGTTTTTGGTAGCCAAAGTTGTATATTTGGTGGCCAGAGTTGTGGTTTTGGTAGCCAGAAGTGTGGTTTTAGTAGGGGAGGCATGGTTTTGGTAGCCACCAGCATGGTTTTGGTAGCCACCGTCCCCTCACAGCTCAGCAGAGGCCGTGTAAATCAAACCTCGGCGCAGTCACCATTGGCAGAGCAACGGGAGCTCAGGCCTGGTTAATGCAGGCAGGAAAAACGGCTTTTTGGGGGCAGAAAAGCGGGGTTTTTTATGGAGAAAACCAGTTTTTTGGGGGCAGAAAAAAAGACTTTTTAGGGACAGGAAAAATGGCCTTTTTGGGGCAAGAAAACAGCTTTTTTGGGGACAAAACTGACCTTTTTGGGGCAGAAAAATAGCTTTCTGGGGAGAAAAATGGCTTTTGGGGCAAAATAATGGCTTTTCTGGGGCAGAAAAATGGCTTTTTGGGGAGAAAAATGGCTTTTTAAGAAGAAAAATGGCTTTTTTGGGCAGAAAAACAGCTTTTTTGGGGAGAAGAATGGCTTTTTGGGGGAGAAAAAAGTCTTTTTTGGGCAGAAAAATGGCTTTTTAAGGAGAAAAATGGCTTTTTTGGGCAGAAAAAAGGCGTTCTGGGGCAGAAAAATGGGGTTTTTTGGGAGAAAAATGGGGTTTTAGGGAGAAAAATAGCTTTTTTGGGGACAAAACTGACCTTTTTGGAGAGAAAAACGGCTTTTCAGGGCAGAAAAATGGCTTTTTGTGGAGAAAAATGGCTTTTTAAGGAGAAAAATGGCTTTTCGGGGCAGAAAAATGGCTTTTTTGGGCAGAAAAAAGGCTTTTTGGGGCAGAAAAATGGGGTTTTTTGGGAGAAAAATGGGGTTTTGGGCAGAAAAATGGCTTTTGGGGACAAAACCGACCTTTTTGGAGAGAAAAATGGTTTTTTAGGACAGATAAATGGCTTTTTGGGCAGAAAAATGGCTTTTTCGGGGCAGAGACAGGGCTCCTGCCCCATGCCTTGAAGCCCCCCAAGCTCGGGGCCATCTCTGTCCCCATCCCTTACCGGAGCCGGGCTGGTCCTGAGCGTGCGCCCCGCTCCGTAAGCGTTACCCGCATTAACGAACCGCGGCTTCGTTAAGCTACCGAGCCCACCACGGCTCCTCCTCCTCCTCCTGCTGCGCTCACCATGAAGAGGTCGAACTCCTCCTCGTGCCGCGCGATCATCTGGTTGACCGTCTCGTCATCGGGGACCTCGTCTTCCTCCTACAAAGGACCCCCCCCCAAGAAACAAAAGAGACAAAAAAGCCCCCGCGTCAGCGGCGCCGGAGCCGGAGCCGCCGCGGTTGCCCGTGAGAGATGCGGCGTTGGGTTGTGCGCGGCTGTTGGTTTGTTGTTGTTGTTGTTGTTGGTTGTTGTTGTTGTCGTGTTTGATGACGTTTAGGTGTAGTTTTGGTTTCGGTGGTTGGTTTTGGTTTGTTGTTTTTGGTTTTTTGTTTTGGTTTTGTTTTGGCAGGGGTGAGCTCGGTTTAAGGAAAGCGGACGCGGCGCATCCGTCGCGCGGCCGAGGATTGCGTGGGCGTGGAGACTGAACAACCCCTCTCACCTTTAGAGGTGCTTCCTCCAACTCAGCGTTCAGGCACAGGGGGGAGGC